TATATATTTCTTCTATGCACGATTTTGTAATTGAATTTCTCCTAAACGGCTGGACCGACTTTAATGAAATTTTGTGTCTTTAGGTAGATTCGATAATGGTTTAGCGTTAAAACTCAGTCCAATTAAATATTTAATTAATTATTTAATTAATTTTTTATTTATAAATTGTAATGCGAAAAGTTTATAGGTTGAAGTTAGTCGATATTTTTTGTTGATATTATACTTTTCGATATATTCGATATATTTCTCTTATTGTTTTCTTTGTGTTATTATTGTGTTACAAAAAATCGTGTGCTAATTGAAATATTACATTAAGATCTAATTAATGTTTGAAGAAGTTACTCAATTGACACTGTTGTCATGATTTAGAAAATCCGTGCTTTTCTCACGGTTAATTATATGTTGCGTGTTCCAGGGTTGGAAAACCATCGAATTTGTTTGTGTATACTCCTGAAGGATCAACCGAAAATATTCTACATCCAATGGCATTATGATAAATTAAGTTTTTGTTTCAACTTTTTCAACTATTATTAAAATAGGTTTAAGTGAATAATAATTAGACTTTATTCAACAGTTTAAAAATATTATAAATGAACGTATCAATCTGATTCTAAAGAAGTTTTCACGTCAAAAAAGCCACAGCAATGCGTGGCTGGGGAGCGAGCTGCACACCCGGTGTGCGATGATTTTATTTATGTGAATTCACTTACGAATTGGATGATTTCCTTAACACTAAACCTACCATGCGCGGTCAAATGACCGTTTTTAAAATTTCGTTTAAAATTTCTCGTATACAACGTTACTGTATCATCATGTAGCTTATTGACTTTTCCTAAAATATACATACAACCTATTTTTCAATACTTACAACTTTTTTTATTGTTTATTTTCCGAAAACAAATTATACCATGTTTAGTCTACCACGAACGGTCATTTGACCGTTTGAAAAATTTATGGTATTTACTACTATATTCTTCGATAATCGCATTCTTGAAATTGTTTTACGAGTCTACAATGTAATTRTAGACAATCTACAATTTAATCAATGTGTCCACATTGTAGACAAATGTGCGATTAGAATTAATGCATGGCGTTTTCGTTGTTATTGGAAAAAAGAACATAGCGTTTTTTGTACGACAGTAAGGTCTTGCAATACAAACAGAAAGCATCAAAATTTCAGTGTATAATAGAAATTATAATTATATTATAATAAAAATTTTTACGTGGTATAAGTGATAGTTTCGACAAAGTCAACAGAGCCAACAATATTTTGCGGTATGATTTACAATTGTTTTTTTATTTCTGGTCTCAATGTTTTTGCCCCGTTTGATTTATATTTTTATATTTTAGTTTTTACTTTATCATTTGTATATTCATCCCCCAAAATGTCAAGACATTAGAAGAATATCAATTTATTAGACAAAATAAATAATATCGACGAGGATTGTTCGGAAGATGATCAAGAAGTTTACGATATTGATGATGATATTGCAGAAAATTATTGTGACTTATTTGACAGCGATACGGACGAAGACAATATTTTGAATATACGAAGAGGACAAAAAAGAAAGAGATTTATAGTTAGTTTCGAAAGTGAAAATGAGAAAGAAATTGAAACTGCTATGGACGGAACTGTTTAGAAAAAAATAAAAGAAAATAAACCCAATAAAAAAGTATTGATACTTAGTTCAATGTATACATCCGTAGAAATTGAAAAAAATGACACCCGTACAGCAGAGATAATTAGATTTTACAATAGCACAAAATTTGGTGTAGAGTAACCGATCAAAAGGCCAGAAAATATAGTGTAAAATCTAAATGTCAAAGATGGCCTTTATAGGTATTTTTCAATATCTTAGATTTACCCGGGATAAATGCTTGGATTTTATATAAAGAAACGACAGGTGAGGAAATATCGAGGCAAGAGTTTTTATTTCAATTGGCAGAAGAACTTGGGACCGAATATCAGAAAGAGAAACAGATAAGAAAGGAATGCTAATCATAAACAATAATAAGTACAAATACTGTTTCTTCTGAACGGAGATCTTGTCAAATAAGATATTGTTAAGTCAATAAAACAAACAAAATTTGTATAAAATGTAAAAAATACGGATGTGGAAAATGTGCAATACAAAATGCTGTAATTTGTAAAAAATGTGATGAAAATGCATAAAAGTAAATAAAACATACAACATAGAAAAGCCAGGAACGAGTTTTTATTGTTGCATCTGAAAAATATTTTGTTTACTATCTACTTTACTAATATACATATGTTTTTTTGAAGCGGTCATTTGACCGCTCATGGTAAGGTTAGGTATACATGAAATGTCGGTAGGTTTAGTGTTAATAAAAATATTTTTTTATTAAAAATGAACAACATAAAGAAAAAAAAAATTTCGCTTCTGGTGACCGTGTTTGAAAAAAATCATCGTCTCGAATGGGTTAGGAGGATTATTTTGATAAGAAAAACAAAGTACATTTCGGATAGGTGAAAGTATTTATAAATTTTGACTTGCAAAAATTTTTCAATGAAAATTCAGTTCAAACGATTTTAGAGTTTTTGAAAGCGGTAAGTGTTACTTTAAAAGAAAGATTATTTCAAAACGCTTGCATGTAGTGAAAAAAACTTATAACGACGAAAAATGGCAACCACGCATGAACTAAATTTACCACCTTATATATATGAAAGAAAATTGAAAAGAAAATATAATTATAAATGTTTATTTAGATATTTTTTAATTTCTATTTAATGTCAATTTAGGAATATTATTATAAAAATACATAAAAAATATTACAAATACGTATACTGTAAAAAAATATTAATAATAGAGACTCGTTTAATTTAAATTAATATTTTTGACTGGCAATATAAATTAACTTGAAACCAGAAAAAAATAAATAATAATAAATACAAACTTTTTTATATTTTTTTAAGTATCTTTTCAATTTTAATTCTTATTAAACAAAATGCTGTTAAAAATATATTTAAAACTTAACATATTTATATTAAAAAAAAAAATACATATAAATAATAGAAATTAGTTTTACTTGAATCAGTAAATTCCACTGACTTACATAGTTTTTATAGTTGTAGTGTTAATGCTGTAAGCACAATCTCAAAAATTATGGATAATAAACTACTAACTGTGATTGTGAGCACTTGTTATACTACTCGCTACTTGATGTACATATCTTAGATTACATTGTTAGGTGCTACGTCGTTCGTACCAGTAGTTACACTGTGACTACATGAG